ATGTTTCTCGTTACAGGTATCTACGTACCGTGTGATACATGGTTACTGTTTCTCGTTACAGGTATCTACGTACCGTGTGATACAGGGTACTGTTTCTCGTTACAGATATCTATGTACCATGTGATAAAGGGACCTGTTTCTCGTTACAGGTATCTACGTACCGTGTGATAAAGGGACCTGTTTCTCGTTACAGGTATCTACGTACCGTGTGATACAGGGTCCTGTTTCTCGTTACAGTTATCTACAGACCGTGTGATACAGGGTCCTGTTTCTCGTTACATTTATCTACGTACCGTGTGATACAGGGACCTGTTTCGCGTTACAGTTATCTACGTACCGTGTGATAAAGGGACCTGTTTCTCGTTACAGTTATCTACGTACCGTGTGATACAGGGTTCCTGTTTATCGTTACAGGTATCTATGTACCATGTGATACAGGTTCCCGTTTTTTGTTACAGGTATCTACGTACCATGTGATACAGGGTCCTGTTTCTCGTTACAGGTATCTACGTACCGTGTGATAAAGGGACCTGTTTCTCGTTACAGGTATCTACGAACCGTGTGAAAAAGGGACCTTTTTCCCGTTACAGGTATCTATGTACCGTGTGATACAGGGTCATGTTTCTCGTTACAGGTATCTACGTACCGTGTGATACAGGGTACTGTTTCTCGTTACAGGTATCTCTGTACCGTGTGATACAGGGTACTGTTTCTCGTTACAGGTATCTATGTACCGTGTGATAAAAGGGACCTGTTTCTCGTTACAGGTATCTACGTACCGTGTGATACAGTTTCATGTTTCTCGTTACAGGTATCTACGTACCGTGTGTCCTGTTTGGTGTCCTGGATAACTTGGACGTGGGAACACAAGGAACACTCCTGTTGTACATTTCGTGTCCACTCTACTTCAACAGCTTGGCCAATCCTATCATCTATGCCTATAAGATTCCACTTGTTCGCAAGGCCTTTCGTCGCCTTATGGATTGTTCTAAAAATGAAAGCTTCTGAAGAAATTACGTTATCCCCTAAATATGCCTTATCGCTATTTCTAAAAACAATCACAAAAAATAAAAATAAAAATATCTTGAATATTTTATAACTTTAATATTGACTGATGTTTTTATTCACGTCACGTGCTCAATAATTAGTATTGTTGACGCTACATTTGTTTAAAGTGGAGAATTCCTGCATCACAACCCCTAGATGAGTAAATGACTATTTCGCACCGGGGGGATTCGGATAAATAGAATATTTCCATACCTAGAGGGTGATAGAGAGAAACATCCAACCCTAGGGGTGATTTCTTTGGTTGTCTAACCCGAGGGCCGGGATCACTCCCAGGGTGGGAGATTTCTCTTTTACACCCTAAAGAAAGGGAGGGGTTATTTTTCTCCAATCACTCATATACTGTGTTAAAAACATTTTATTTTAGCATTTGTCATCTGTTTATTTTCCTGATTTGTACATGACCTCCAGCGCCAAGAACTGATTATGACGTCATATCTTATTGTTCCCGTGCCGTCATAGTATTGTTGGTTTTTTGCGTACAATATGGCTGCCCTAGTGGGTGACAGAGAAATTTTGAATAAGTAAAACGGGAGACAACTTAGTCAGAGGTGAGAGAAACGCCTGTCCTGGGTAAC